AGGTAATCACCATCCCACTCTCCGCCATCAGCTGCATAAAAATTCCCTAATATCCTCCTATAAATGGCTCGTGAATGCTATTACATATCACTAAGACTACATAATTCTTCAAATGATACGTTCTACCCTACAATAGTTAGACTCAAACGAGAGTTGCGAAATAAGGCTAAACCTAACCTTCTGAAATTATTTAGTCCTCGCAATATGTAACTTAACATATTTGTTTACTAGTTAGTAAAAGACAACTAGAACTCCTAAAAGCACAAAGCAATCAACATTCAAGCACTAAGTACACATAATCCAGCATATTCTAATCAGGACATCATACCGACTACTCTGTACTAGCATGCAATTCATAAATCTGATACATATATAAGAGGCACATAAGGCATCCTTCCTAGACCCTTTGTCATAATCTAGCATAAGTTCTCGTAAAGCTGATAAGCATATGAAAACATAACTTGTATGGGAAATTTGGCAATACTTACTTGAGCTCGGCTGATTGCATGCACCACACCGTTTTCTCTTTTTCAAAATTCTTTTTGCTTTTTCTAAAACTCTTTTCTTTTCTCAAAATACTTTTATAAACAAGGTTTTCTTTTGAAAATTTTTATACCAATTCCTTAGTTTGAGTTCAGACATACCCGAAAGTGTTCCCGAATCCCTCAAACCAAGCATTTGATACCAACTTGAAACATCCCAAAAATACAATAAAAAATTTTCGTTTTTAATTCAATAATAAAAGCATAAATAACATCATCAAGTGAACATCATAAAACATATATCTCAAAAACATCATATCAACCGTCAAAATATCAAAGTATCATCTCAAATATCAAAGTAAAATATCCCATGCTATAAAACTATGGTGTGTGCCACGCGATCACCCTAAGCCCTTCCCTTTGCTAGTAGAAGTACCTGAAACCAAAACTGAAAAACCGTAAGCACGAAGCTTAGTGAGCTCCCCAAAATACCACATACCATACACATAACATATAACATATAACATAACTTTGGGATTCCTCCCAATTGCATCGGGATGAACCCAACATCGGCTTACCCGATATCTGACTCCTGCCCAGCATCAGGCTCACCCTAGCATCAGACCACGTCTTGCATCAGGTCGCGCTAGACATCGGGATTGACCTGGCATCGGTCTTACCCCGACATATGCACTTCATAACATATATCATAAACACATAACAATAGCACATATAACATACACCGGGCTTTCCCCGGTATCGGAGCGATGTCCGGAACACATAACACATATCGTATAAACTAACATACATCAAGCTTGTCTCGGAATCGGACCGTGTGACAACCCAAAAGATTTGGATCGAGCAATGTCTAGATTGTAACCCTAATGCAACAAAACCTTGAAAACTAAAAGGGCATAGGGGGCTCGTAGATGGACGTATACACTTTAGAAATCACATATAAGGTAACTTCTTGAAAGTAAACAAGTTAAGCAAGGCAAAGTGAGACAAATAAATTAGATTTCAAGCTACAATAAGTCTTAAGTAAACAATGCAATCAAATAAGGATCAAATGATGTAAACACAAGAACTTGTAATTGTCTTACAATCTTGAAGAATCGAACAATAAGGCCAACATACTTGAGTTTCCTATTAACTAAGACCATAAACCATTTTCAATGGGCCAAGATTTGGCCGTGAACACCCTGAAAAGCCTTAGTTTGGCCGTGAACACCCTAAGAAGCGATAGTGTGGCCGTGAACACCTTTAGCGGACCACACTTAGCCGTAAACACCCTAAAGGAGCCATAGCTTGGTCGTGAACACCTTAGGGAACCACCCTTGGCCGTAAACTTAAGAGGAAATACACTTTATGTTGTAAACCCCTTGGTAGACCCCATATTGGGTGAAAAATCAAAAGAAAACCCACTTTAGGGCATAAACACTTTGTGTTTACAGCCATGTTTAGACATTTTAAAGTGTTTACGGATTGGAATGCAATAAAAGCAAACATATTGACTTTAAGATGTGATGTATTTTGCCATTTTCCCATGCATTCACAGATCTTTACGTATTACCCAACAAACTCCCATGGATTAACTAACAGTCCTCCAAGTAATTTCACATCAACCTCACGTCTCTTATTTAAAAGAGAACCTCCTTGTTAAACCTCACCATTCCCTTATTTTGCTCTCTGATTATTTCATACTCCCGCACTTCACTTAGCAAACAATTCATACTTCCTCACGAATAAGCTTAGGATCTTTCAAGCTCAAAATTTTTGAAGTATCATCCCTGGATCCTTATAAGTATTTCGATTTTGGCTAGTGATTCTACATATTATTTTGTTTATTTCATCCTATTTACATATAATATTATGTGCTTAGGCTTGAAAACTTCTCAATCTTTCTTCAAATCATCCACCAAACCAAACCAAGGTAAGCTTCATACCCCTCTTATTTTTTGTATTTTTCATGTTCTCGGGAGAGGATAAAAGTCAATCTCGTTTAACCATTGGATATTAACATGTACCCATGTGCAATGTGTTTAACCGTTGGGTAATCGTATGCATCTTAAATATTGTGTTAAAATCGGAACAAATCTTTGCGAAAACGAAGTTTTATTCTATGTGTCATCATAATAATCAACATGTAAATATCGTGATTCAAAACTTTCAAACTGGTAACAAGGCGCAAAACACAAATACGTGATTTAGTATTTTACTAACGATAACTATTTTTATAAAATGGTTGTAAATTTGTATTCACGATTTTGATGGGTTAAAACCCAAGATATCATGTTATTTGTATACTAAATGTTAAATCTAGTTACCTTTTGAAATGCCTATTTTTATAAAAATGTTGTAAATAGCTTTACCAAAATGGTGGATAAAACAGTTCATGACCGAAATATAGACGTGTCATAAACCGTGTGCCATAAAAACTCTTAAGACACGGAAAACAGCATGTCATGAATTTTGTAAAACGCATGTCATAAAACATCTGTCGCAAGTTTGAAATAAACAATTTGTTTTCTTATTTGAAAAAGGGACTCGAAATTCGCGTAAACTTGTTAAGGCTCTTTTGAGATTTTCCTTCATCATACCTACCTAGTGAAGATTGTAAGTCCTGTAGTTGTAACCAGAATCTCCTGGATGGAGAACGGGATATTGTGTATAGATCTATACGGGGTTCACACCCCTACACTTGAGCTGCTCGCTACAGCTAGCAGGCCAGTCTAGGGTGGCAATTATCTTTAGAAACCGACACCTGAAGAACGTTAAGACAAGATTTTTGTCATCTTAGTATGGTTGTAACGACTCACATGTAGCAGAATTCCATTAACTTAGGGTTGACGAAGAATGGACACCCTACTAGTTTTTATAAAACACCAAACTATGTTTCGTTGCTTTGTAAACTAAAATCCACCTCTCTGGTCTTATGGTTTGAAGACCACAACTCTTTTATATACAGAAAATATAGGATTTTCTGGGAACACACTTTTTCTAATACAAACAAAGAAACGTATAGAACATGCATGCAATTATACATAGTTTTGGGAAAAAGACTCACAACTACGTTTTATGAAAATACTGAATTATCTGGGAACACGTGTTTTACATGTATAACAAAAGGAAACAATGGGCATGCATGCATATATTCACAGTTTTTAGAACGAGACTTACAATTCTTTTTATAGAAAATATCGGATTTTGTGAAAGTACGACAAGAATGTTTCTAAACAAGTTCAAACTATTTCGTACAAAAAGTCTTATGAACTCACCACTTTTTAGTTGATGCTTTTCAAAAGGACTTGTATTCTCAGGAATCTAGCAGGCAGATACTCAACCCTTCTTGAGGGCCGGCATTGTCATTCATGTTTTACCTACTCTTCAGTTATCTATATTAAACTTTTGATCAATTGGTTTGTAAACAATGTAATACTTGAAATCCAAATGTATGAATGTTTGTGTTGCTATGTTTCACTCATAATTAATTGCTATGATACTGTACATGAAGTCACTTTATCTGCCCTCAGACATTTCCACCGTTCTGGTTTAGGGGTGTGACAAATTGGTATCAGAGCATTGTTTATAGTGAACTACTATATCAAACCATACAAGGTATACAACTATAAATACAATGGGACTAAAACTCTGACTAAAAGTATGTTTTAAAAATATAAGCAATTTATAAAAGTATACATATTAGAACAGTGTCATGATAAGAACAAACAAAAGTATTTAGAGGTTGGAGACTAAAGTAAAACCTAAGTAGTTAATTAATCATATATGGGATAAATATAGCCTGATCAACTATATTTGTTTAAGATATGACCAACATGTGCTTGGGAGTGATAGTGGTGTTGAAAGAAGCCTAAAACTTACCAACTATACATGCAAAGGAACATTAGAATCGAACATCATGTTTAAAATATTATAGGAGTATTTTTGGATACCATATAACTTCCACACTTAAATCTCACTACTAGAAAAACAGCCTTTTACGACGCTCATTGCGCGTCGTAAAACGCTCAGACGACGCGCAAATGCGCGTAAAGGAAGGCCCTATCATAAAGATAGACGACACGCATTTACGACGCGCAGTGCGTATCAAGGAAGGCCCTGTCATAAAGGAAGACGACACGCATTTGCATGTCATAACCTTACGACGTGCATGTTTATGACACACATTGCGTATCAAGGAAGCCCCTGTCAAGAAAGGCCATGTCATAAATGAAGATGACACACATTTTTGCGTATCGTAATTTTATATGTTTTAAAAAAATATTTTTTCTAGATTTACTAATTTTTGAATTAAATTTTCATTTAATGTCTCTTAATAAATAAAATATCATATACAAAAATACAATTCATTGCACAAAATATAATGTCATACAAATAATCGTTCCATGGAAATATAAAACAAATCAATAAAAGTTATAACGGAAATTTACAAACTAATTAGATACAAGAAATATGAAAAACTTGAAATCTCTAAGATTAATAATTCTAGAAGAAGCTTCACATGAGATACATACATTTGGACCAATAAGCATGGATGTTCCCGAATCCACAATAGCAGCAGAAGAACACGTACGCGATATCTTTTGCTAGAAGGTGCCCGTCCAAAACTACTGTTGAAGGTTGCCATGATAGCTGTTAAGATTTAAGCATAACAAGAAACCAATCAGTGACTATAATAAGCTAGAAAACAAGCAACTAATAAACAAAATAAGCAACTAATTAAGTCAAACTATGACTATGTATTGTTCATACAAGAAAAAGAAGGAAAAAAAATGGTGATTTATTGTTGTCCATACAACACTCTCTAGACAACACTTAATTGAAGAAAAGAATAAGGCTAAACTTACAAAGAAAAAGAATTCAGGAAGAAGACAAGTTTGAAAGCATACAAAATAACATTTAGCCAAGCAAGTGTGATCTACTAGTAAACTTGAAAATGCAAAATTCTGAGTAAATGACCTAAATACCCTCAGAATCGTTAATCATAATAACAAGTAACAGACCTTGTAGGAGGCAATGCAGAGGTCTGGCCAGATGGCATAGCATGATAAGCACCATCCATTGTGATATAAGGTGAAGCAACCAAAAGCCCCAGCAGCACCAGCCAAAATAGGTAGCCTACAACAAAATTTCACAATTTTAACCATTTAATCACCTAACTATTATTATCTTAAATATTTATTTACTTATATATATATTTAAAGTACCATGTCATTTCTGAATTCCCCATTCCATTGGGCTGAGTAACGTAGCCAGGGAACGCCATGCCAATAGCAGGAACTCCAAGCCCGCCAGGATGCTTCCCCGCAAATTACACAACTGCAAATTTAATAACAGATTAGACACCATAAAAATTTAACATTTTTTAATGACCAAATAGCCCTTGGGTTTACCTGGCAAAAATGTTGGAGCACCAGGGAAATTTTGATCACATGGATCCCAAACCATACATACACGATATGACAGATATGATAATATTGGATTAATAAAATATTTAAGAAAACGGAAGGGCAAATTTGTAAATTGTAGTTGAACCTTCTCTGTGGATTTAGCTTTGTTCTCAGCTCCTAAAGTTTCAGTGGCGGTGCCTCTTGTTTGGCGCCATATAGAAGCCTCATCTAGCGGCTACACAAGCCCTGTTTGTTTAATAACAACACACCATGCTTTTACCTAATATTTATTTTACTAAAGAAAATAGATACAATGGTGAAGTGAAAGAGCATGTAGATAGAGACAGTTAATTAATTACCGGGTAACAAGCTGAAATGTTGAATATGATCCACGGGAAGTCCCAAGACACTAAAACCACTGTCACATCGGTAGAGCACATGATTAAAAGATTCTCCAAGAAAATAAATCGGCTTATTTGGGGACAAATTTTGATCAATCTTTACACTTTCCTCCACAATTGTAATCAACCCTTCATGCAAATATAATGGTAAAATGGTCATTTACTCTCTCATTTGGTTCCTTGAAGTTTTAACATAATATAAATACAAGAGAAGATGATAACCATCAAATGGTGTTCGATCATGAGAAGGAATATGCAAGCATTGAACATGAAAAACCCTGTCATTGTATAAAATTTAAGCAAACATACTCCTATTAAAGATTCTATAAAACAAAATTTTATAAGAAAGAATGTTCAAAGAGAAGATGAAGATCAAATTCAACTCACTTTTCAAGAGGTTTTTCAGGTACAACAAGGCCAATTCCAGTTCCTTCCAACCGTACACAAAGTATCACATCCAATTAGTAAGTAAATATAAGCATATCTTATAGGGGTAAAATGGTAATTTGTGTAATTTTATAACCAAACACAAATTACCAGGCAAAAGGATTGTTTTCTGTTCCAGAGACTAAATACCCCTATGGAAATTCCTGATTGTAGACAAAGGCTAGGTAGGAGACAAATCTGCCATTGAATATAGATGCATGAAAAAGTTTATAAACCATGTCAAACTAATTGAGTAGTCAACTTGCACTTCACATCTTCAGAAAAATCCATTGCCATTAATTTCTCCTTAACATCATCAGGTGTGGTCTCAACACCTGAAACACAAGAAAAATAAATAAATTCAATCAACAAATTAATACTTGTACAATCTTTTTAGAAACAAATATTATTATTAAATCAAAGAGAAAAAATTACCATCATCGAAAACACTGGAATTCTTGTATTGACTAACATGCTTGGCCATCTTTTGCAATCAAACTGTTGTTGTTGGTTTGATTCCCTGAAAACAGAGAATTCATGAATTCATGAAGCTTCAATTTCCAACTAAATATCTCAACAAAATTTATTAACATAACATACAAACAACATGCAGTCCATTTGTCAGCAAGAAGCTGGTTTCTGTCCATTTGGTCCTTGCTCCTCGAGACTTTCTGATTCAGGTACTTATTTCAGAGTTTCATATCGATTTTGGTTCTCATTTCAAGGTTCCAAGGACCAAAATCGATATGGAACCTTGAAATAAGGACAAAAATTAAAAAAGTTTCAATTTTGGATCAAACACGATGAAAATCAGAAAGCACAGCGACCATTTTCTAATTATTCTTAATCTGATACATTGTAACGCAAATAGCATAAAAAAGTTGGAAACCAGTGCAGATTGCAAATCAAAAGCAAGTAATAGGTAAATAATCAATGATAGACATACCCTAATAAAAGACTTGGAAGCTGCAGTGAAGCTAGAAACGTTGGCGTCTTGGCTTGCCAAGCAAATACTCATTGTATTGATTCTGATACCGGAGCTCCAGGATATAGATGCGTTTGTAATCAAGGCTATCAAGGTCAACCATATCTTGATCCAGGATGTCAAGGTTAAATCTTTCACAATCAAAATATTCACAATTCTGTTATATATAACTATTTGATTTATACTGATTTTTTATTCGATCATCACAGATATCAATGAATGTGAAGATCCCAACAGTAACCTGTGCGAGGGGATCTGTACCAACACTCCTGGAAGTTACTCGTGTTCTTGCAAAGATGGCTACGTTGTAGATGAATTTAGCAACGGTCGAGGTTGTCTTGCTAAAACTTCGGAGTTCCCAGTTATCAAATTCTCCATAGGTAATTAATCAGTTGTAATCTTATCGTTTTTGTGTCCTTAAATGGATCATCCGGTACCTCAGCTGAATGATCGAATGAAGTCAAATGATTGGTTGAAATTTGAAAACATGAAATAGTTTATGGTTATTCATCTTGCATTAGTTTATAGAAAAAATAGGTCCTTAATTTTTTTTAAAGGTAGATGACTAAAATTTTACTAAATTAAAAAAATTAAGTGGGTCATTGGACCCACCTTAGTTAAATGTAGACTCACCAATTATGTGGTATCATGCACGCAGGTATGGGATTTGGTTTCATGGCCATTTTAGTCGGAATAACATGGCTGTATTTTGCCTTCAAGAAGAGGAAGCTTATCAAAATCCGACAAAAACTGTTTCAGCAAAACGGTGGTTTACTACTGAAACAACGAATCACAAATTGGTTATCATTGGAAGTGCAAATAAAATTCATAAATTGAGCTCTACCGGAAATATATGCAGAAACCAAAAGAATTTTTTTCGTTCAGTTTCCTCTTACCGAGTATAAGACTCACAGGAACACAGTAGAGAAGGGACATGGACATGATGATAAAAAAAAACTTAATCAAAACTATGAGTAAATTAACCTAATCACTACAGATTACCTAAAAAATCATAAACCCTAGAAGTTTCTCTAGATTAATTTGGGGAAGTAGCATATAAATTGAAACATATATAAGCCCTAGAAATCTATTAACATGTAAAGTACCTGACTGATGCCATCGTTTTCAAAAAGAAACTCCTGGAAGAGATTAGCGACGTCCAATCATTGCGGTCCAAAGAAGCAGGATCTGCAATACGTGTTTTGATGTTGTAATGTTTTTGGTTGTAGATTTGTAGGTCATTTGGAGATGGAAGACTATCACTAGAACAATACATGTTCTCAACGACTTATTCTGGGAAGCAATGTGGCACCGATGAGCAACAGAATAACTCCTACATGAAGATGATGACAAACGTGGTGGGCGGTGGAGGCGCTGCTTAAGGCATCGGGTTAGGGTGTCCATCGGAAGGGTTTTTTTACCAGCAGGAAGGGCTTCTAAATGTGAGAAGCTGTTGTGAGCTCTAAGAAGTATGTGAGGTCCGGTTCAAAGCCCTAGTAACTTATTGATTATGTGAAGATGGGCTATATGCGAAGATAAAAGATGAAGACGGACCATATTTGAAGAATTTTGGGCAAAGGTATGGTTAGATTGGTTTAAAGCGTATCTATGGATATTAAAGCGGCCATGGAATTTGCAGAAGTGGTACCAGTTTTAGGGATAAATCGAACTAGTTGGTCTTTGTTATTGATCTTCTTTGCCGTGATTATTGGCCCGTGAATAGAGAGAAAGGTTAGGGTTTCTTGATTGAGAGAAGGAGGGGGAGAAAATGAAGGTCATCAGCAAGTGGAGAGGAATGAATGAGCGGGTCCTCCAAAATTTTGGGGATTTTTATCGATCGATCATTTCCCGCCTAAAAGGCGTGTTTCATTAAAAATTTATAAAGCGACATACTTACATGATGCACAGTTTATAAAAGGTGCCCTCCGCATTTCCTTTTTTTCTTTTCTAACACTAATATTAGGGCACGCACAAATACGTGTCTTCTATCCGTCAAATTTTGCAAAACTGACACTATTTTTTAGGGCACCCACAAATGCGCGCCCTCTATCGGCGAGTGTCACTGTTTGCGCGTCATTAAAGGCTAGTTTTCTAGTAGTGTCTTCTACGTGTTTCTCATACCTTTGCCCTCGCATAGACGAAATGGCTGAATTTCACCACGTAGACCCCCACTACCCTGCCCTGGTAGCCAATGAATGGATCGAAGAGCAGCCATAAGAGGTTCAAAATGAAAACCTAGAAGTAGGACCCGAGGAATACCAAGAGATGGACTACGAGGGGGAGAATTCCGATAAGGAGCCAGACGAGGATGAAGACACCAGAGAGATCCTTAGCGAGCTTTACCCTTCGGGAGCAATGTCAAACCAGCACGCATAACAGGAGCATCTTACCAACTGTCTGCGCTACTTAGAGGAGGAAGTGGCCACCGTAAGGCAACAACTCATTGCGGATGAGGCTAGAGCAGCCTTAGCAGAGCAAAGAGCAAAAGAGGCCACTCGTGAAATGAGTTAAATGGTTGAACATCTTATGCGCTATTTTGGCATATGAGCATCACTACACTACCCGCACTAGGTCCTAGGTTTATTATGTATTTCGTTACAACTAATAGTAGTAAATCAAGAGAGGCATGCCCTCCAATAATCCTTGTAATCCAAATCAACTAATTGTACTGATATCGATATCCTCTTTTGTTAAAATTTATGATCATCTAATACCTACTACTACCTATTACCATAAGTACATCATAAGAATATAGGTCAAAACATTGAGAATCGTACAACAAAACATGTGACTTATGCGTTCATGCATGACTGTATATCTATAATCATAGATGAGAATACAACTAGAAATGACCATAGTTACTTACAATCTTGCTTCTCGTCATGCAACAGAATCATGTCTTTCTATGGAAATAACCAACACACCGGTGAAACACCAATTCTACAAATAGACTCCGCTACATTCCCAGCTACCATGACATCTGTCATGACGCAACTCAATGCAAATGACACAAACGGAAATGGAACCAATGTTGACAATTCCAATTGTGGTAATAACCAAGGGCACCAACGAGTGGCTGTCTACGAGGGCACCCCAAACCACAAACCCAAGAACATGAAGCGAAAGTCCCGGAACGGGAAAGGGAGTAGATCGACTCAGAGACCTACCAAAAGATGACAAGTTCCCACCGACCCTACTACCACAACACCAAAAAAACCATATGCTGGAAACCTCCCAACATGCAACAAGTGTAGCTTCTATAATGATGGAGTCTGTCGAGAGTTGCATTGCAATAGGTGCAACAAGAAGGGGCACACCGCCCGTTTCTGTAGGGCCCCGACCCCATAAATCCCTCCAACCCACAATATCGAAGTAAGTCTAGTATGCTACAAGTACAGTGAAATGGGACATTTCAAGAGAGATTGTCGAACAAACAGGAATAACGAAGAAGCGGAAGGAGTTTAATGATTGGACATGAAGATACAATGAGGAACCTTACCAAAATTTTTGGTACGTTTCCAAACAACAAAGATTAAGCATTGAACTTTCACAAAAAAATTTGGCAACTAAAAACATAACCATAAGTTGCTTACTCATCCGCACAAGTCATACCATTCATAGAAATACT